CTTTGTATCAGTACTCTGCCATTTTAAAATTCATGCCCTAGAGAAGACATTTTGAGTCTGTTTTCTGTCATTTGCAATAGCCTCACTTTCTATTTGTACAGTACCTTATGCAAATAAAGGTTTCTAAATTGAGAATATTTAACTTTGTGAAATGTTCTGAAAAGTACTTATAGAATTGTATGACTATTGTTGGAAATTAATTCATAGGACATAACAGATGATTAAGAATGTGGACCATTCAACATCCCAGAAACGTTTCAGGATCCAGGCTGGAAAATATGCCTCTTCTCATCTCTGAAGTGAAGATGAATCAAAATAAATGCTATTTGTACTTCATCTTTTTGGAAAAAGAAACCCAGATAAAGTATTAAGAAAGCGAATTATCTGAAAGGACTCTTTTGCCAATGTTGCTAAGTCAGGCCGGTTAAGGGAAAACCTCACACACTGCCAAAAATAAGCCAAAAAATGATTCAGCAAGTTTTATGCCAAGACTATAAATGACTTTACATAATTTAATGAAATTTAAATACAGTAAAAGGATAAGGCTTTGTTACTCAAATATCTATTTCAACATTTTGAGCTATAGAGTGAGAAAAACAAACAAAAAATCCACCACGGATCCAAAACAAAAATTACCAAGACCTTGATTAAGTATTTATTTTTACAAGATTTTCCTGTTAAATTAACGAATGACTATTATTCATTTGCATGGTTAACATAAATTTAACTGTAGAAAGTATTTGTTATGTTAGCACTTCCGCCAAGTAGTATAAAGAAAAACTTTAACATGTTAGACAAATAACGGGGCCGCCTGTTTTGAATGTTGCAGTCTATTCTCATCATTTTTTGTCTTTCTCATATGCGGAGAGAGAGAGGTACTCAATGGGCTGGGGTTGCTCTTACACAGTAAAAAATAATATTAGGGTGCTGGGAAAGTTGTGGACTATTTTTCCATGTTTTTTTATGCAAAAATGCATCGTGACTTTCCCCAAGGACCCCACAGTATCAAACAAACTGCAGTGATGGGCATTTCCTCCATTATCTGGCTCTGCTTCTGGTCTGTGATTTGGAGGGAAATCAGAGAGGTTTTCCATTTGGATCATATAAAGAGACTATTTCAATTGAGCTTCTAAAACATTTATTTAACCAACATTTTACTGCAAAGCCATCATGCATTTACGGTTTAACAAGAAAATACAGATATGCAAAGGGACTAAAATCAGAAGGGAAAAATCACTCATCATCCACCCACTCAGAGCAAGTAACTTCTGTATGGGAAAAAATAAAATACTGTCCATACTATTTGTGACTTCTCTTCCTACTTAAGAGTGTGTTGTGAACATCTCACCAAATCAGAAAATGTCATTCTATCCCCACATGCATGTGGGCATATCACACAACTATGCCATGGTTTCTTAACTATCCAGTTCTTTTGAACCTCTGGATCATCTCTGTTTTGCTGTAGTGAAGACTGTAGTGTCTCATTGCAACCACTTTGTTATATTTGTCAGTTAAACAATTATTTCCTTGGGACAGGTTCTTAAAAGTAAAGTCGCTGAGGGACCAGCCGTTAGCATAATGGCTATGTTGCTGGACTCTCACATAGTTGACTACGGTTCATGTCCCAGACCCGGTGGCTTAAAACTCATGCCGGGCGCATGTGCATGCGTGCCCAAGATCCTGAGAGGAGAATGGAGGAGAAGGGATTGCAACATAGCCATCCCCCCTGGAGGGTGATTTCTCACTTTCTGTCTCTCTGTCTCTGTCTTTCTGGCGAGTGCATGTGCCCTATAGCAAAAACCTCTCCAAAAAAAAAAAAAAAGTAAAGTCTCTGAGTCATGACGTACAAGCTTTTATTAGATAGAAACAAGTTGCTTTCAGAAAGTTTTATGCAAAATTGTATGCATAAAGATTCCTATTTACTGACATCTTTGATGACATTATTTTTAGTTTTCTTATAAATCAGCACCATTTTGAAGGCAAACATATCCCTTTAATTTTCTTTTTCTTTTTTTTTTTTTTTAAGTTTATTTGTCTACGGAATGTAGGGACATAGAGGAGAGAAAGAGAGAGAAAAATAAGCATCCATAGGTCTCTACTGACAATCCCCTGCAGCTTCCACAGCCAGCCAGGATCATGGGTGTGTACACCAGGCATGTGCAGGTTGACCCAGAAATCAACCTGAAATCTGTATGGATCCAGCACTGACATGGAAAGTTGGGATGTATGGGCCCAATATCCAATGCAGGAACAATAGCGAACCCTATTCTTTGCCTCATCCTCATGAAGAAATAGAGATGCAGACACAGAGAGGGGATAGGCAAAGGGGAGTTTAGTGATAGAGACAGCAGCTTCCAGGCAGGGAGGAGTCCTGAAAAGTGTGTTGCAAAAGATGAACTAAGGTGGCAGGCTTTTAATCTTGGTTAGGGGGCTTAGTTTCAGCTTGTTCTCAGGAGGGACTGTGCATTCATTCTTCTCATAACGGGGGTCACATGTTAAATGGGTCCAGTTATTCTTTTTGTAATTTTGTAGTAGATGTAAAGGTCATGAGATTTTCTTTGTCTGAAAGCTTTGGGCCAAAAAAGACCATTGGTTAATGCTCATAAGAATTCTTACATTATTTTCTTTTTATCATTTACTTATTTATTTTTACATTTTCCCATAAACATTTACTTTACATATCAAAAAAAATGTGGTCATACTCCATAGTTCTTGACAGTTAATAAACAACTTTCAAAATTTCAAAATACTAAGTTTTAAAGATAATGTTTGAAATATTTGTTATAATTTTGTTTGTGATGCTATAACAACAGAGACAGTATGGTATTATATATTTTTGAGAAAATGTTTACATGTCAACTACTCAAACTGTTGAAAAACAAACACCCAGCACACGATTCACACATAAATCTTCTCAATTCAGCCCTGCCTACCAAATATTCTGTGATATGCCATCTGCTAGCAAAGATCAGTCTCTTTTTCTCCCTTCAAAGTCTTCTTTAAGGTAATCCTCTGGTTCTGGCTTCTCTTTTACAATCTCTACTGATTACAGTAATGCAGGGCTGGAAAAGTCCAGGTTATTTTATGGTATAAATTCTTTAATATAGCTTCTGTATTCCTCTCTGCCAGTCAAAACTGTTTATGGTACCAGACCATCTTTCCAAGAGCTTCTGTTGGCTTGCTTGAGATCTACCTTAGTTCCATAGTTTTATGGTTTAATTTTCAGATAGACATTCCAGTCATAGCCCCATCCAATAACAAGTATTATCAATTTCTGATTCGAGGTAAAGTTATTATTGAACTTATCCAAATAACCATACTGCCACAAAATAAGAATACTCACAAATATTTTCCAATTTCAGAGGAGTCAGGAAGGGAGAAAAGTTTATGTTCCCACTGAGAGAAACAAATGAGAAGAAAAAACATTTTAACAAATTGCTGAACCTATCAACAGCTCAAAAGAAAGCAAAATTCTTAAGTTAGGAAAACAAAGCATAGTAAAGAAAAAAAAATCAGTTACGTTTTACTCAAAAGTCATAAAATTCTATTTCATCAGTTCAGTCTTAATTAACCTCTCTTCTGTTGAATTTGCAGTATTACTGTGGTCTGATCTTTCTGTTTAAATCCTGGAAGTTAATATTTGACATTATTATTGATATTTCTTGTCTCTAGCATTAAGTTGGTCATTTTCTTGGTAGCTTTTTGTTCTCTTATTTCTGTATGTGTGTCTTTAGCTTTCCTGATAAAGCACTCCTTTGAGAACTTCTTGAAGAGCTGGTCTAGTGTTGGTAAACTTTTTCATATTTTGTTTATCAGAGAATGTATTTTTTATCTTTTCTTCCAATATGAAATATAATCTTGCCAGGTACAGTATTCTTGGTTGAAACTGTTTTTCACTTAACACTTTGAATCTATTTTCCCATTCTTTCCTTGTTCACTTTGTTTCTGATGAGAGGTCTGAGGTTAGCCTGATGGGATAAACTTTATAAGTAACCTGACGTTTCTCTCTTGCCAATTTTAGTACCTTGTCTGTGGATTTTGCTCATCTGGCTATGATTTGCCTTGGAGAAGATCTTCTTGGGTTAATTCTATTAGGGGCCCTTTGTATTTCTTGGGTCTGCATATTTGCATGCCTCTCTAGATTTAGAAAGTTTTCTTTCAAGATTTCATGGAACAGATTATCAATGCCCTTATTAGTTTCTTCACCTTCTGGAATACCAATTATCCAGATGTTTGGGCACTTAATGATATCTAGTATTTCTCATATAGTACTCTCATTTTTTTGTTGTTATTTTCTCAGTTTTTTTTTTCTTTTTGATTGTTTTTTCTAGGTCAGAGGTTTTGCCTTCAACATCCAAGATTTGATCTTCTGCACGTACTAATCTGCTTTTAGCACTTTCGAGGGAAGTTTTGGTTTTCTGTATTGAGCCTTCATCTCTAATAGCTCCATTTGATTCTTTTTTTGTAGTGTGTATTTCCTCTTTCAGATTATATAAGAACTTCCTCACCTCCTGGAATTCATTGTCTCTTTTCTCCATCTTCTGGAGTTCATTATCTCTCAGCTCATGCATCTCATTTAGATTTATCACTATGAATATTCTGAATTCTCTATCAGACATTTCCATAAGTTCCACTGTACTTTCTGTGAATGATGAAGGATTGTTCTTTTTACTTAGGGGCGAGATATTTTCTTGGTTTCTCGTATGTCTTGTGCCTCTGTCATGGTTTCTGGTCATTCTATGACAAAATCTCTTCTCAATAGTCTAAGTGTTTTGGGGGTCTAGAAGATGAAGTTTAGAGCATAGCTTGGGTCACCTTGGTTCCTGAACATGCCAGGACACACCTCAGTTTTTGTTTTTTGTTTTTTGGTTTTTTGTTTTTTTTTTTTTAATACAAAGACCAACTATATATTTCACAGCATCAGTCAGTGAACAATAACATTGTGAATAAAGGCATTGCCACATTCCTTATACTTCACGGTTTCTCTCCATTATGATTACTTGATGTCTATTTAGGCTTGAAAACACAGTAAATGCTTTACCACACTCATTACACTTGTAAGGTTTTTCTCTAGTATGAACTCTCTGATGCCTTGTAAGGAATGATTTGTAAACGAAGACCTTGCCACACTCATTACACTCATAAGGCTTCTCTCCAGTATGAATGACCTGGTGACTAATAAATGCTGACCTCACATAAAAGGCTTTGCCACACTCATTACACTTCTATGGTTTCTCTTTGAGTTCTTTGACGATGATAGTGCAGTCTGACTGAAGAATTTGCCACATTCATTACACTTGTAAGGCTTCTTTCTGGTATGAATGCTCCAATGTTTTTTAAGGGGTGAGTTTCAACTGAAGACCTTAACACATTCATTGCATTTGTAAGATTTTATTCCAGTATGGGTTACCTGATGCTGAGTAAGAGTTGACAAATCATTAAAGGCTTTGCCACATTCATTATATTTGTAAGGTTTCTCTTCACTATGGATAACCTTATGTTTCATAAGTGTTGACTTCAAAGTAAAGGTTTTCCACACTCAGTATATTTGTAAACTTTCTCTCCAGTATGAATTCTCTGATGTAGCTTAAGATATGAACTGATATGGAAGACTCTGTCACATTCATTACATTTGTAAGGTCTCTCTACAGTATGAACTCTTTGATGTCTTGCAAGGTGTGAATTATGACCAGAAACCTTGTCACATTCATTATATTTGTAAGGTTTCTCTCCAGTATGAATTCTTTGATGCCTTGTTAAGGATTGATTTGTGGTTGAAAACCTTATCACATTCATTACATTTGTATGGTTTCTCTTTAGTGTGAATTCTACAATGATCTACAAGTTTTGATATCTGAGGGAAGACCTTATCACACTCATCACATTTGTAAGGTTTCTCTTTCATATGAATTAACTGATGGTTAGTAAGTGTTGACTTTAAGCTAAAGGCTTTGCCACATTCATTACACTTGTAAGGTTTCTCTCTAGTGAAATTTTTCTGATGTGCAAGGGATGAATTTTGACTGAAGACTTTATTGTGAGCTTTTTCTCTAGCATGTATTATCTGATGTTTAACAAAAGGTGAATGATTACTAAAGACTTTGCTACATTGATGACATCTGTAAAGTTTCTCTGTACTATGAATTCTTTGATGCCTTGTGAGATTTGAACTAAGATGGAAAATCTTGTCACATTCATTATATTTGTATGGATTCTTTCTAGCATGAACTCTCCTATGAGCTACAAGTTTTGATTTTTGATTAAAGACTGTGTCACATATATTACATTTATATTGTTTCTCTCTAGAATGGATTAGCTGATGTAATTAGCGTGAATCAATAGCTCTTAGAATGGGAAAATATTTTTGTAAACTATGTATCCGATAAGGGACTGATAACCAGAATACATAACGAACTCAACCAGCTTTCCTGAAAAAAGGTGATCAATCCTATTAAAAAATGGGAGAATGAGTTGAAAAAAAAAAAAAAACTCTCTAAGGAAGACAAATGGATAAACAAAAGGCATATGAAAAAATGTTCAGCATCTTTCTGCTGAGTGATGGAAGTTAGGGTATGGAGGAGAGACATTATATGTCTCCACTCTAATATACACTGAGTGTCTGCACTCTATGGCCTAAACTGAATGACTAGAGGATATAGAAACATAGGAAATGGTTATAAATACCAGATACAGTGTGGGACGAGGGTGGGTGAAGGAGAAAAGTCTGAGGAAGGGCATTAGGAGAAAAACAGAGAGGCAAGGCATTTATGGGACAAAGAAATGGGTTATTATCTGTTGAAGATAACTTGCATAGTATCCTCATCTGGACTGGTGAGAAATGTATACATGTTGGAATATTCAGTTTGCAAGCTTAGTGACATATGTGATTAAATGTATAAAAAAATTGAAATAAAAAAATTATATACATAAAAAAGGAAAGTCTATCATTGTGTTAGTTGAACTTGTGATTTTTTGCCAGTTAATAGGAGTTTGCTTTCATCTATTCTCAGTTATCTGGAGACAAAAGAAGAAACTTTAACCTTCAGGAAATTTCAAGGGGCCAAGTATAGAAGACCCAAGCTTGACTTTTTTTTTTTTTTTTTTTTTTTGCATTTTTCTGATAGGTACAGTTAAAAATAATGTAGCTCTTGGCTATATTCAGTAACTTACAGAAGAAATCAATTTAGAAAAGAAGATTTTTCTTATTGATGAAAGCCAAAGATAAGAATATAGTTTTTTATGATTAATATTAGCTAGATGCAATGTGTCACTTTGTGAATGACATAAATCAAATTCAGCTGTTCAAAAATAAAATCCCGGGAACCAGCAGTTAGCATAATGGCTATGTCGCTGGACTCCCACATAGTCGACCACGGTTCGCGTCCCGGACCCGGTGGCTTAAAACTCACGCCAGGTGCATGTGCGTGCGTGCCCAAGATCCAGAGAGGAGAATGGAGGAGAAGGGATTGCGGCGTGACCATCCCCCCTGGGGGGTGATTTCTCGCTTTCTGTCTGTCTCTGTCTGTCTGGTGAGCACATGCGCCCTATAGCGAAAACCTCTCAAAAAAAAAAAAAAATCCCTACCATCTAACCCACTAGTAAAGTATAAAGTTATCAAGATAATTCTATTTAATCAGAAAATAATTCAATTTTGACTTTTACAGCTATTTCACATTTACAATAGAAATTCCTATAGATGAATGAATATAAAGAAAACCACTTTTAACTAATTAAGACAAACAATTTGATGAGATGATGAATAAAGGAGGCTAAGAAAATATGTAGGGACATTTGCAGGGTCTTAAGCCTGTTGGGAAAACATTGTGAGTTCCATTTCCGCATACTGAGGTGGAGATGCTCCCAAGACATTCACGAGAATAGTTATTGGAAAGACATACCCAGAGTTCAGAATAGTATCTCAGCAAAAATTATAAAGTAAGGAATATTCTGAATGCCAGAAACTGAGGCTCTAGATGTATAAAGTTGCCCAAGAGCAAGTAACATAAGAAATGTAGCTCAGAACTGAATCAGGAGCCCTGTCAAGTGATAAAAATGAGCTGGAAGATACAGTCATTTCTTTGAAGAGGTTTGACTTCGCTTAGACGAAGAGAAATAGTGGGGTCTTAGGACATTTTGGGAGCTTCATTTTGTTTCATTTTGTTTTTAAAATACAAGAGATTGATGGATAGAAAAGCTAAGATGGATTGAAAAGCTAAATGGAGAAAGCCCAAAACTTGAAATAAATAATAAGATCATTTTATTTTAAAAGCATGAATAGAGTAGTTCTTACAGGAAGCACTGGTTTCCATTATTTATAAATAAAAAGGAGCAATGGGAAGAGAAAAGATAGACGCCAGATATTTATATTTACCTAATGATGCAGGAAAGTTAGTGGAGTTTCCACACAATAATTTTTTTTTTTTTAATTTTGAGAGAGATTTTTGCTATAGGGGGCATGCACTCGCTGGAAGACAGAGAAAGACAGAAAGCGAGAAATCATCCCCCATGGAGGGTAGCCATGCCACAATCCCTTCTCCTCCCTCCTCTTCTCAGGTTTGGGCATGCACTCACATACACACCCAGAATGAGTTTTAAGCCTCAGATTCAGGACTTGAACCACGGCTGACTATATGGGAGTCCAACAACATGACAATTTTACCATCTGCCGGTCCCACCATACAATAACTTTATTTCCTTGATCAAGTGGCAACCACAGTCATCTGCTGAGATTCAGTCAACTGCTCAGGAGGATGACAATTAGAAGGTTTATTACAGTTGAAATGACTTTTTCAGAGAGTGGGAAAGCAAGCAGTCAGAAAAAGGAGAAAAGTCAGAGAGTTTTGAGTAAATCTGTTCTGTTTAGTGACTGAATTATAGAAGTGTCAATTTGCCAAGTAGTGTAAATATAAACCCAATGCTCTCTAAGAGAAGAATTTGATTACTAAGGAATGTAGAAGTTATCAAGAATTCATGACCTGTTATCCAGAGAAATTGTAGAATTTGACAAAGTTGGCCACATATAAACAAAAACAGAAAACCAAAGCAGAACATCTGAAAATCTAACATAGGTTCAAAACTAAGTCATCTTTACATTACTGACAAAATAACATGAATAAAAATAAATGTCAGTGTTCACACTGCAAGAAAATTCAGACACAAAAGATTACGGTGGTTTAGAAACCACATGGGTATTAAAGACCAAAATTCAAATTATGAACAAAAGAAGATCTCTTATTAAATACATGTAAGAGATGTTTTGCATATACAAATGAAAGTGTAGATGCAGTGTTCTCCATTCATATTAACCTGGATCTTTTACAACCATATAATTATTCCAAGTATAACCTTTAAGAGCTTTGACTGGGCAGGTGTGGATGACTGAATGTAAAACGCTAATAACATACACCCCCATCGTGGGGTTATTTAACTTAGCCCTCTCCTTTCTGTATTTCCAGGAAATCAGATCTTTTTTTGCCCCTCCACCAAATACTTTTAATTTCGGACATCATAACATTTCAAACTTATAACATATAGTTGTTTTTCTAGAAGGAATAAAAAAAGAAGTAAAATATAATTTTTCTAACATTAGTATTAATTCACTCCACTCCACAATACCTATAACTATTCAGTGTTTGAATTTTCCCAAGCACAAAAATTTATTTTATACTGTTTGAATCAAGATCTATATAATGTCCATTGTTTGAGATGTCTAACAGTTCCTTCGAATATTTTCAATGTAGAGCACTCCTCTCTCTTAAATTTCATTTTCATTTTTTTTTTGTTGCCCACAATTTATTTGTTCTATGGAATGTCTCCCAACCTGAACTCTGCCCATTGTATCACAGTGGGGTTATTTTCTTATTCCTCTATTCCTCTCCTTTCTGTATTTCCAGGAAATTGGCAAACTAGAATAGACACTTGCTCAGATTCAGATTCCTTTGTTGGAAATTTTATTATTTTTTAAGAGAGATATTCATTATAGAGTTTGTATTTTCTTTTTCTTTTTTTTTTTTTTTTGAGAGATTTTCGCTATAGGGCATGTGCGCTTGCCAGACAGACAGAGACAGACAGAGAGACAGAAAGCGAGAAATCACCCCCCAGGGGGGATGGTCATGCTACAATCCCTTCTCCTCCATTCTCCTCTTGGGATCTTGGGCATGTACACACACGCACCCGGCGTGAGTATTAAGCCACCAGGTCCGGGAAGCAAACTGTGGTCGACTACGTGGGAATCCAGTGACATAGCCATTACGCTAACTGCTGGTTCCCATATAGAGTTTGTGTGCTTATAAGAGAGACAGAGAGAAACAGAGAGGCAGAAAGTGAGAAGTCAATCCCCAAAAGGGGATGGCCACACCACAGTCCTTTTTATCCCATTCTTCTCTTGGGATTTGGGGCATGCATGCACACACACCCAGCGTGGATTTTAAGCTGCCAGGTCCAGGACTCGAACCACAGTTGACTGCATGGGAGTCCAGCAACATAATCATTATGCCATTTGCTGCTCTCTATTTGTTAGAAATGAATACAGACAGCTTTGTGTATATTCTTTGGGGACAAAAAATATTTGTTTCATGACGTTAATGAACATTGACCAAATCTGTGTAAATTTCTTATTTCATGAGGGGGTTAAAAATGATATTGTACATTTATTGCTCCTTAATTTATTATGTGAATAATTCCATCAAAGAGAAATCTTTGCCCATCAAGCATTTATTGGCACTGAAATAGAATTCATATATATATATAT